CTCTGGAGGAAAGATCTCCCCTGTGTCACCCAACCACGGTATGGAGACTGAAACCCGGAAGGGTTAACACAGTGATAAGATTCCCAAAGAAATTACACAAAACTACATGACAAGTCTCCCACAAATTAAGATCTGTGCCCAAAAACTGGGACAAAAAAAGAAAAATATTCCCATATCAGAAAATTATTATATTCTGAGAACCACTTTAAAACGACAGAACTCTGCTCTACTCTGAATAAGTTGTCTCGCAATATTTTCATTTTTGTGGTACAACCTGTAATACCTGCTCAGTCAGTTATGAAATTTCGATGAAAATAATTTTATTTTTATTTTTGTGATCAGGTGTTTGGTATTAAAAAGTATTTTATATATCTTGTTTATCATTACTCTGACTCACTTATTGTGGCAGCTACACATGGTTCTGAAAATATCATTAGCAGATTTCTCCATTTTTTGTGTGCACAAAGATGGGACTTTTCAAGACTTTTAAATTTCTTTTTCATATTTCAACTCAGCCATAATCAGAGACTATTCAACCTAAATCAAGGGATACTGTCGTCCAAACATAGCATCAACTTTCAGTGCGTGCAAAAACATGCTGAACGTGGGCCGACAGGCAATTTATAATAAAGATATCTCGTAAAATATTTGATATATCAATGCAAACTTTCACAGACATAGTTTTTAATATCGATAGCTTATGACAGAAAAGTTTCAAAAGGTGGTCGAGCTGATGATTTGAGAGGCAATAAGTCATCTGAAAACACACAGATGTAAGATCCAACTTGCTGGATGAAGCTGCTGGGAGATAAAGTGTTCTCAGTCTCAGGTGATGACGTAAACTTGTTCAGGAGCGTGTCAAACTGTGCATGTTTCTGCTCAACTTTAACCTCCTTTCCTTACAGCTCAGATTCCCTCCATGTCTCCCCCCCTGTACGAGAGGAGAAGGTGCAGGGGAACGAGGAGCTCACTTCCTGCTCACCTTCTTGCCATCAGTCCTGTCCTGTTATTGTTTTCTCTTCTCTGTGGACAAGCAGTGCTGGCAGGACATCACTGAGGAACTCTACCCTCAAGGCCCTCATCCCGCCCATCGAACATCAGCCTAACACGAAAAAAAAACCTAAATCTGGACCTAATCGAGCTGACCTCACAGGAATGTGGGAGTACGCACAGATGTCAAAAACATAAAAAAGTGTGTATTTTAGACGAGACAACTGCAACACTCCACCTACCATCGGCTCCTCCTACACAGGAATGCGTACGGTCTCTAATGTAATTATTCTCCCAAGCCACGTCACTCGTTTTAGACATTTTGTCCCCGAACACCAACAGTGAAGGAGTTATCACAGAAGAGTGGCACACTGTAACCTCTCAGCTGCCCCCATAAAAAAGAAAACACCCGACCAGCTGCCTGCTGTCAGCCAGAGCTCACAACACGTTTCAGTTGAGCCTCAGCTGAAAATTTTCCCCCAAAATTCTCCTAGTCGACATCAAACACACAATCTGCATTTAAGCAGAGAAGTTTAAACATGCAGCTTGAAGCAAGGATCATCCATTTTATATGACTAAAGCAAGACTAAAATAAATAAATAAATAAATAAAACACAGAAAGCTACAGTGTGTCCCATTTCCATCCTGCATAAGTTAAACCCATTTTTATTTTTAAAAAAAGCTCTAAAAATCCACTCAACCCAACTTTTCCTGCACCAGGCAGCGGACAAACACTAACAGGTGAAACACAGCGGAGTCAGATTGTTCCCTCTGGAGTTTATGGAAATCAAAAACTGAGATAAAGGAGCATAAATATTGAATTGGACTTACATTTGCCAAGTACGGAAGCCGAGAGCGGTCATGGCCGCACATTTTTTTAAAGGCCGTTTTCCCGAGACAACGAGATAACCATCCCGTTGACAGTGTCGGCTGTCACTTCAGCCTTCATCAGAAGTTGTCGGACTTCCTGGTGTGACGTATCTTATAGACAGCTGACCGGGAACTCCGACATGACGTGTCATGAGAACAGCTGACCGGGCACGTCAACTTACAATGAAGAGCTCGTGCCCGGTCTCGTCTGTCCTCCGGCCCCCCGCTGGTGACTGAGGATGGAATCCCAGGTGTGTGGGAGGTCCCACACACCTGGGATTCCATCCTGGACTGGGCACGAGCGGGCAAACACAAACACCAATTATCTCGTTTTCACGAGAAAACGAGTCTTGTTATCCCGAGATAACGAGAAAATTAACTCGTTATCTCGAGAAAACGGCGAAGAAAGAACAGTAGCGGAAAACGACCGCCCTCGGCTTCCGTAGCCAAGTGACCAGAAACTCCAAATAAATGATAAAGTTGATCTGTGATTGCTGGATGTGTAAATAAGCAACTGTTTGCTCACAGTTCTAGATTTTAGAAGTAGTAATGCTTTGGCAGCAGCAGAAGTAGTTGTAGGAACAGCTGTTTTTGTGCCATTTTTAAACAGTCCTATTCCTATTACCTGAGTAAGAATCTCTATTTTTCAGCCTTGTATTTTTGACTTCATCCCACAGGCTTGAAAAGTGTTGCACAACTAACTAATACAAAGAACCTAAAGCTGCTCAGTTATGGTCAAAATGATGATCATGATTATTTTAATCATTGTTGAGATCATGGGCGCAGTTGGTAGCACTGTTGCCTCGCAGCAAGAAGGTTGCCGGTTTGCGTCCCGGTGGGGGCACCGGAATCTTTCTGCGTGGAGTTTGCATGTTCTCCCCGTGCAGCGTGGGTTCTCTCCGGGTTCTCCGGCTTCCTCCCACACAGTCCAAAAACATGTTGAGGTTAATTGGTGATTCTAAATTGTCTGTAGGTGTGAATGTGAGTGTGCTTGGTTGTCTGTCTCTAAGTGTAGCCCTGCGATAGACTGGCGACCTGTTCAGGCTGTCCCCTGCCTTCGCCCTAAGTTGGCTGGGATAGGCTCCAGCCCCCCCGCGACCGTAGTGAGGATTAAGCGGCGTATAAATAATGGATGGATGGATGGATTTTGAGATCATCACTATAAACTGATTGTAGGAGCAAAATATATAAATAGGACTTTCACCTGTAAATAAAACAAGACTGCCTTCACTTCCACACTGCACTACAAACTGTACAATTTACCAATGTTTCCTAAACGCCTCACATGCAAAGAGAAGCTGCTAGTTTCCTCAACTTAGACAGGTGTATGACCAAAAATGACTTGTGACATTGATGGTGTGAAATAAGGTGTTCTAATATCATATCTGCCAAAGAGAACACTCTGTGATTTTCATCTACAAGGACTGTTTTCTGTTGGAATAGCATTTTAAAAACAAATATCTCACTCGATCACATTCATTGAATTTTAGGAAACCGTGATTGGGATTAATATCTGAATAATTGTGCTGCCCTGAAAAAGGCTTATGTGTTGTGCCACATTAAGCAAAATCCTGTGGTGTGTTTCTTCACATTTTTAGCACCTTAACATAATTAATGGTCCATTTGTTTGACTGGTGGATATGATCTGACAAAAGTAATTTAATTATTTTTCCTGTTATCAGAAACTAAATGATGGAAGCTGAACAGATCACAAAACATCTTAGCAACAAGGTCAGCAGAAAAAAAAAAAAAAAAAAAAGAGGAACAGCACATGAGGAGGAGACGGCAGATAATCACAGACAACCACCAAGCAGGGTGTGGCTATATTTATCTACGGCCTTTCGTTCCTAAATATAAAGTGTCATGATTTGAACAAAATGAGCTGAGTAACCTTTACACTGATGCAGAGAGCACTGATCAACTTTGAAGCTAAACAGTATTAATCCTGCCTGGACAGAAAAACAAAAAGTGTTACAGAATATAAAAAGCTGAATGTGGATCTCATTGGTGATTGAACAGAGAAATTAGAAGTTAAAACTATTTGTTTAGTATAGATGTTTAACTGTTTTTAAATGGTATTTTGGTTCTGGATTGTGATTTTCAGACATCAGTCGTAAAATTATAAAGTCTGATTTCACTTCTTTGTGTCTCCTAAAGCAACGACAAGATACGATCCAAAAAGATACGACAGATAATATTTCTAATTTGCTCCTGAAAAGACTCCGAGGGCTTATCTTATCTTTGCCCGATAAGATAATTTACCAGTTAGCAAGTGCACAGATGTGTGTGAATTATACTGTTTATCCCACATTCTGAAAGTTTTTTTTTTAGTTGCTTTCCCTATGCAAAGCTTTAAAAAGCATGCAGACAGCGTGACTGTATTTTGTTAAATGCTGGGAATCACAAGGTCGTGCTCTATTACGTTAACATTATATAAGCTTTACATAACAGTAGCTTTTTTTGAAAGAGAAAAGATGTGTGTTTCACACAGTCTTTGAGCCAAATACACAATGGCTACAGGAAAACTGTGAATAAGATTATTCTAAAGTAACTTCTTCTTCTGAAATAATGATCAACTAATTCTTTAGTATTGAAACCAAGACTGAGAGCAAGTGGGCTTCAGGGACTTTCCTCCAGTAACACAGTCTGCATGTCTTGGACTGAGAACAAATGAAAATATAGTGATAATTGAATAATTAAATAATTATTCATAATAAAATTAAATAACTGAATTTCCCTTCTGGGATAAATAAAGTATTTTTCATTTCATTCATTCATTTCATAATCATGTGCCACTTATTATTACCCACTGGCCTCTAATTTTGTTTATTGTCAGTCATCAGGTTTGAGCTGCTGTAGTGCTTCTGCTGTGTAAAATTAAAAATCCCTATACCAAATGAAAACAGAGAAAAGCAATTTGACAAAGTTATGACCCTGGGATAAACAAAGTGGCAGCGAGTGACTCAGAGCAAAGTGCAGGAATCCAAAAGTGCTCTCTAGATAGATAAATAAATGAGTGAGTGCGAAGAAGCTAAGGTTGTTCTTTTTCTACTTTCTGAAGTTGATTATTGAATAAGGTCACAGTCTGCTTAACCGTAGGATAAACGGCACAACAATTAAAATGTGTGAAGGATACTTACTGGCTATGTAGGAGGACACGAGCACTCCGGCGAGAGTGGCGCCCTGAGAGAGACGCAGCAGCAGAAACACCACCGGACTGCTGGACAAACAGACAGCCACCCCGAACAGACTGGACAGACTGATGGACAGGAGGAAAGCTCTCCGACGCCCCAACCTGAAAACATGCACAATCTATCAATCACATAACACACACATATGAAATTATAAAGCACCAAAGAGTTCAGCATTAACCCTCTGAAACACAACTACTTTCTGTTTGTTTTTAGCATCTGTCACATCTTCACTCACTGTGAGCTCTTTTTAAAAAAAATTATTTTTTTTTTACTGTAAATATAAAGTCCTGCACCTGAACGAAAACAACAGAACCATGAAGAAGTATAAGAGACTCAAAAATGTCTTCTGTGCAGTAAGACCAAGGTATCATGCCATAAATCATAAAAGATGAAAAAACAAACATGAGTTTTTTTGATTTCTTGTACAAAGTTGAAAAAAATCTGGGATCCAGCAGGTGTTACCACTACTGAAAAAAAATAGCGGCCCTGATTGCTTTAGGTGTTTTACTGCTTACATTTTTAATTCGTTTCCATATTAATGTGAAATCTGCTCTGTGTAAACAGCTTGCAGTTCAGCCAGAAACTACATTTTTGCCATGCAACTGCTGGTTGCAGCTGAGATACTAACAAAATCTGGTTAGGGAAAATGGTTTTATTTTTGGGAAATTTTGTAAAATAAAGTTATTTTGATGCAATTTCATTACTTAAATCTTAAATCTGGTTAATTTCACTGTCAGGGCAACATCACAGACAACTAGCACAAGAATCATTAGAAAACTGCAAATAATTCTTTCTGTCTTTTACAGTTTTTGGCTCTAATATTTGGTGGAATTTTGGTTTTTAAAGATAACTTGCATTTCAAATCCATGAGTTGGTTTAGGAATTCAGAGGGTTAAAGTGAGAAATAAAGAGACTAAGAGATCTTTTAAATGAAAATGCAATTTTTACGTAGTTTACGTCATTAAGCCTTTTTGTTCATTTAACACTGAACACTTTGGGGTTCCGTATTAAATGTGTTTATTACTTACCAGTCACACAGTGTACCAAGAAAGATGTATCCCAGAATCCATCCTGTCATGAAGCTGATGTGCTGCACGGGGACTTTCCAGTAGTCGCCACAAACCAGGTTCCACTGCAAAGCAAGACAAAGCAACCGACTGATACAGTTGTAGACCAAAACAAGACTCACTTTTAACAAGGAGCAAAAAGGCCTCTAAAGTAAAGTCCATTCTCATCAGGTTTGAAAAAGATACAAATTTCCAAAGTTGAAGAAAATATTCCATGTACCTGCCATCCATGGAACATCACAGGTGATAAATACAAAGTATGACCACTAGATGGCTCCACAGAATGAAACATCCATCCATCCATCCATCCATCCATCCATCCATCCATCCATCCATCCATCCAACTCTCATCTGGACCAGTCAGGCAGCACTTTGAGGGTCATGTTCTTTGATTTCTCAAGTGCCTGCTTTACTATGTGAGAAGCTCCATAACTTCCGGGTGGATCCTTCCACAACCACCTGGATTTACGACTACCTAACAAACAGACCACAGTTTGTGAGACTGAAACGTTATGTGTCTGAGATGGTGGTCAGCAGCACTGGAGCACCACAAGGAACTGTACTCTCACCATTCCTCTTCACACTGTACACCTCAGACTTCCAGTACAACTCTGAGTCCTGTCATCTGCAGAAGTACTCTGATGACTCTGCAGTTGTAGGGTGTATCAGTGATGGACAAGAAGCTGAGTACAGGGAACTAGTCCGTCAGTTTGTGAAATGGTGTGGTAACAATCACCTCATCTTAAATACCAGCAAGACTAAAGAGATGATTGTTGACTTCAGGAGGAGCAAGAATAAGCAGCATAGCCCTGTCTACATCCTAGGAGAGGAGGTGGAGGTGGTGGAGAATTACAAATATCTTGGAGTTCAGCTGGACAACAGACTAGACTGGAAATGCAACACTGACTACATCTACAAGAAAGGTCAGAGCAGACTCTACTTCTTAAGGAAGCTGAGATCATTCAGTGTCTGCACCAAGATGTTGCAGATCTTCTATAAGTCTGTTGTGGAAAGTGCAATCAGCTTTGCAGCCATCTGCTGGGGCAGTAGCATCAGAACCAGAGACTTAAAGAAACTAAACAAGCTGATCAAGAAAGCTGGTTCTGTGCTGGGGATAACTCTGAAACCACTGGAGCTGATTGTTCAAAAAAGAATGCTGCACAAGATGATGAAGATGATGGAGGATTCTTCCCACCCTCTCCACAACACAGTGAAGAATCAACAGAGTGTGTTCATTGGGAGGCGTCAGTTTCGCTGTAGAACGGAGAGATACAGAAAGTCATTCCTGCCAACAGCCATCACCTTGAAGAACAAGTCTGACTGACTGACTGACTGACTGACTGATTATTATTGTTGTATATATATGTTATATTGATTAAAAAAAAAAAAAAAAAGTGAGCTTTTTACAATATTGAATTTCCCTTCTGGGATAAATAAAGTATTTTCATTTCATTTCATATTGTTTTTAGCCACGTGATTATCAAAATTTGCTTTTCTGAGACTTTGTCTTTTAGTCATCGCTTTGTCCAGCCGATTCCATGAAGCTAGCAGGAATCCATGGATGAAACTGTGACTGCTTTGTTTTCACTTATTATAAAGGTTAAACTACTGAACCAGTTCTGTGTTTTGTTTTGTTTGATAATGATGTTAATTACATTGAGGCTGGCATTATATTCAACATTTTTCTTCAACTGCAGGAAAAGACCAGAACCACTAATGTTTTAGCCTCCGCATTTACTTTCCAAAATTTTGCCTTCTCTTTGGCTCTCAGCCTGAAGCCCACAGATTCCTACTGAAGGAATGAATCATCAAAAACGGGCAAAAATAAATAGAGCTTTATTATACAAAGGTGCATTAATTGCCTGAAATAGTCAGGCAGAGGAGCTTTTGGCAAATGTTTCTCAAACAAAAGTGAATAAAGCATTTGTTGGGACTATTTTCAGCAGCAGATTAATACATATTATGTGCTCTGTTGGGTATTTAGAGCAGCAACACGATGCATATGGGTCAAAAATAAACCACAGGATCATGTTATAGTAACGGTTCTACAATACAGAGGAACACTTTAGCTACAATCATATAGTTCCTGATCATTTTAACCATTTTATAAAACACACAGTTACATTTTAGCTCTGAATGTTTCAGTGGAATTTATTATAATATCTAACATGTAAATGAAACTTGGCTGTGTTTGTTTCCTGTTTGTTTTCTGGCATTAAATCTCTGATGTGCTGACATCATCCTGCTCTTCAGCTGCTGACATATCAAAGCTTTATATCAATAACATGTTTTCATTTATTTAATGCTTCATCTTATTTTGGCTGAATGACCTATTTTAACCAAGTCTCAGCAGGTTAATTGCCATCAGATGAAAACCAGAACTCATCTGGAATGCAGAAATCAACCTAAAAACATGCAGTGAATTTACATAAATCATAAAAATGTGTATAATACTTTTGATGTAAGTCTATGATTTATACATTGAAAGACTTAAAAAGGCACCAGAACAAACTGTCACCAGCATGCATAATGTGACCATGTAGCATGCAGAGTACCAGGCGACCAGTTCAGCCCCAAACAGAGAGATTTCTGTGAGGAAACAGGAATGCAGATCATGTCGTTCCTAATTGAGTTAAGATGCCTGCTGATAGTCTTATTACATTAGAACAAAGTAGTGCTCAAAGATACAAGCAGCTCTATGCCTGTTTAGTACCAGTCGCTGTCTATAAGAAAATTCCTCTCCCCTTCTGTCCTCCACCCCCTCAAATATCGTCCTTCTCTACTCTGCTGTACGAAGTCACAGTATTCAATACAGAGAGCATTTAGAGATACATGAAGAGTTTGGGTCAAAGGCATTAAAATGAACGGCAGAAATATTCAATAAAAGGTACAAAACATGTAAGTATGTCAGCACTAATTAAATGAAAATTATGGGTTTAGTTTATAGCTGCTGGGGGACAAAACCTGCAAGAACAGTTGTTTAGGCAAGCCTCATGCAACTAAAAGGTCTACAATTGTTCTCAGATCAGTAATAAGTAAAGTGACAGCTATCTTTAGACCTTATAATGCCAAATGATATTGTACTTAAATTACTAAATATTCCCAGAGTTGATGGCAATCTTACTGTAACTGTAAGAGAAATCTGTGCTTGTTTAGTTTGTCATGTTTCCTCTGGGTTGTGACACTTGACAGATGGTGCTTTCTGTACTTACATCTCTGTAACTTCAAGGCTACATTCACATAAATACAAGCTCATTTTAAAATGCAGAACTTTTGCTCCATTCACGCTTAGCGTCTATACTCCTGTGGTGTTCGAGAAACCCTAAAACTTTTGGAAATGTCACTGATACCATTTTAGTTTGAAAGCTACAGGTTTGCACTTTAGTGCAGACAGGCAGAAAGGGAGACTTCTGATTGGTTCTAAACTGGCACTGTGTATCGTTTCCTAATTCACCAAGCCTTTACCACATGACCGTTGTCTGGAAGGACACACAGACATCAGTGTTGACAACATTTGGTTGATTCAACATAAGTAGCTCATTAGGCGCTGCTGATATTATCTATACACAGCAGTTGTGCAGTTAGGAAAACTCAAGTCCAACTTTTCACTATTGCTGTTTTTTTTCTCTGTAGAAAATTCTACAAGTAAGCAACCAACTCCCTGCTTCTTGTTTACACCGATGCTTGTTTCCCCTGTGTATGTGAATGATCAGAACGATCTCATCTAAACAGACATTGTTTCTTTTAAAACTGTTTCTTTCAGAGATCTATGTTATTCTGTTTTTGATGTGGTGTTGGGAGTGTTGCACTTGGACACTGACTATAGCAACTCTCACCTTTGGATTTATTATTCAATATTGCATATCCAATAAAAATTGTACACCTGGTTTAGGTTAACTGTATCTGTTTGTCTTATGTCTTTATCCACTTAAACTCTGATGAGAACACAGTAGTGTCACTACTAAATCCTTATGCCACCGTCCCGATTGGTCCTTTTAGAAGTTTGCGGTCCGTGAGCTAAGAAGCACCTGATTCAGCAACGTCTTGCTGGAAGATGCGCGTCAAACCCTGTTTTTAATCAAATCAATCACCACACAGTGAACCTGGAGCTTTAATGGACCTTTTGGAAGTCTAGGGCCTCGGGGGAAGTTTGGTTTTCACAGCTGGTAGTCAACCACTGATTACAGGGGTGGGAAGAGGCCAAATAGTTGTTGTCTGTGCAACGTGACGAGTGTGAGGAAACATTACGACATATGTCAAGCTGACGACAAAGGCTTTGGCAAAGAGGAGGAGCAGTCCCAATCAGATCCAGAAGTGGCTTCAGAAATGAAAACTAACGCCTCGGTGTTTTGAAACAAACATAATGAGCTTTACCAGTTTGTTGCGCTGGACAACTGTACTCAGAAAGTCTGTTATTTTCCTCAGCAGCCTGTATTGTATTCTATTTAGTTTTTCCGTTATTCAAGTTTCCCTTTGTCCTGGCGAATGACGTCATGGGCAGAGGAAGGTGTTGTTGCGGGGGGAGGCGCTCGGGGTCTCAGGAAGGAACACAGAGGATTCCGACTTTCCACAGTTTGTCACGGACGAGGGGGAAAAGCCTCCTCACTGCCAGTAACTGTTTCCTTGAAGCCACAATACACAGACCATAATCTCACAATAAGCTGAGAGGCAATTACCCATAATGACTCTATTCGGCCTCAACTGTCAACACTAGCAACTGTGGTTTGATATTGTTTTAATGTTTGTTTAAAATTACCACACAGTACGATCTTACTGTGAGGCTGTTTGAATGAGGTCACAGCCACAAACATCTTTGTTGGAGGCGCAAGGAGTGAAGGGAAGATAAAGACGAGCCTGCTGCTTATTTACATGTTATACAACAAGATGCACACACACAGAAAATACCGGCAACAGATGCAGGCCTATATTTGAATGCAAATCAGAATCACTATTTGAATTTCATGCAGATATCTGTAAAAAATACTGCTTTTATATGGCCTGAGAGGCAGTTATTTGTCCACTGCCTTGTTGGGCTGTCACATGTGATCCCGGGAACCACAGTGTCAGACAGCAGATGAGTTAGAGTGAACAAGACTCCTGCCAGCAACAAAGTTTTCACTGTTCAACAGCCTAAGTCAATATTGACTGAAAGCTGCAGACAGTTGTCTTCATGACACACACACGCTTCCAGCAAAGATAAAACTGAGCGGAAATGGGCACAAAGCCAGAGGAGCACCATCATTTTGGAACAAGTCCAAACAAATGTAATTTGTTGACAAAGTTACACAACCAAGGAAGTTGTTTAGCACAGAAGTGTTGTTGCAGACTTCCAATAAATGAGTGCAGGAGTAGATTATTAAAACAAAACATGCAGTCAAACTGGATCCTGAAGTGTTTTTCAGTGCATGATTCAGCCTAGACATGCAGTTTAACCTCCAGTGCTCCCTCACAGACCTGAATGACACTCAGCTTCTTACCTCAGTGACAAAGTTGCTCTGCAGCCCTGCTACAGGGGGGTACTCCCACCCTTGGGTGCAAGACACTTTCTCCCTTGGCACGTTTTCAGAGAAGTCCGAGGTGTTGGAAGGATACTTGTAAAGCTGACAATGGCTGAACCCGGAGCCGTTCACCCAGGGGATGGTGAGGTTCAGGTATCCCTGCGTGGAGAAGTTGCTGAGGAGGAAAGTGGAGGGAAGGAGCTTCGGATCCGGTCTGCAGTGGTACGAGTCCGGGATCAGGGTGTAAAAAACGTCGCTAAAGAGATTCAGCATGGCCGCAAAGTTAGGGAACCAGCTGAAGACGACCACGATGCGGTTATAACGCCCATAACCGCCGGTGTGCGGGAAGATCTTGTTTTCGTAGTCCATCTGAAGACGAGAGTTGGCGGTAGCAGACGCTCTCGTGGCAATTACGCAGAGAGTGCGCACAGTGAAGAGCAGCGCGGTGCAGCAGCAGGTAGGCGGGAGGGGCGGGACCTGAGGCTAGGTCAGCGCGGGGTCGAGCGATGACACACCTGCTGGCTGATTCGGTGACAAATTTCTGGGTAACACGTGAGTCCAGACTATTTTTACTGAGTCACCAACAGCAGCGCAGACAGACATGGGTGAGACACAGTTACCGCCGTAAAGCTCTGCGTCCATGCTACTCAGAGGATCACAGCTGCATTTTCAGATTCAGATTTTCGTGTTTAAAAGAGAAAGTTTTGGTATCAGAAATTAACCGATTTTGATTTTGATCAAGCAGTTAAAGTTTAATTCCAGTGACTTAGGATTGCACTTTCAATAAAAGTATTGGACTTTAGTTTAAAAAAAGCAAGCAAGCAAGAAAGAAAAGAACCATCACACCTGAAATATTCAGATTTTTGTAAATAAACTGTGCTCCCAACACACTGGATCCTTAATTTCCCATAAAACAACTCAGCAGCTTCTTTCATTTGACTCTCCGTAGCAACTCAAAGGCCATTTCTTTCAAAACTTTCTTGTGAAAAATGAAAAATTTCTGGTAAATATGTTACATCTGAGGTCCAAGTGTAATCGCTGGTTTAATCTCTGATATATAAATCATCATTCTCATATTCAGAATATTTTTTTCTTATTCTTATTCTTATATTTCTTATTGTAACAAGAAACATTCAAAGAAGAGGCTTTAATCACATAAAGTCATCTATATAAGATAAAATAAACCTTAAATAATTATACAGTGGGAAAATCTGCAGTTACAACAGCAAACTCAAAATTGTAAAAATGTAGGTACATCAGCGAAAAAATAAAAACATAAGCAAGAAATATACATAAATGCTGATGATGTCATACAGATTCTTCCATATGGTAAACTTTAATATTATACAGCTTCCATTGACTGTAGAAAGACATGGTATTGCACAGGATTATTCCACATATAGAACAGTTTTGAAATTGAACTGACTCTTCCGTGAGTAAAAAAATATTGAAGTTGCACACATGCTTGTGTATGTAGAAAATCTGGTATAAGATGTACAGGAAAGAATATAGAAAAATACTTCCGATCCTAAATATAATTTTCTACCGAAGTGATCCACATGCTCAGCCAACTACAATACATTTTTCACATATTTTGTTAGTGTAGTATTTAATTTTCGTACATTAAATGGCCTGATTTTGTCGTGTAACGTTCATAACACTGATACGTTTTCATCTTGATTTACCCCCATAAGTCAGACTATATTTGTAAACCCTTTTTCCTACTAATAGGATGGAACACAAAGTGCTCTACACAAAAAATAATACCCCACAACCCCTCATCTACCTGAAGCACTTTGTAAGTTTGCTGTATAAATACATTTTCAAAAATGTTTAATCATCTGTTGGATGTAGCTTTCAATAGTGTGTAGATCAGTTGATGTTTAGGATTTAGAGATGCTTCGCTATAGAGTGTGTATTTTCCTTCATCTGACTGAAATATGAAAAATCACATTGCGCTGAGAGGCACATTAACAAACGATAAGTGCAACAACAAACTAGTGTGTTTTTTTTTTAGACACGACTTTATATCCAGCTGATGACTCATTACTTAAAGTGGTTTATCCACATTTGTGACAGCTCATTATGTTAATTGCAGTTCAAACCATAGATGGGCTTGGTGAAGTTATGTCATTTCTTGGGTGACAGGACTTCACAACGCACAACCTACAGAAAAGCTATAAAAATAACTGAGATGTGAAATAATGTGTATTTGTTCCCCCCAATATTGTCAGACTTGTTCTTGACAGACATGACAGGTGACAGTTTATGATCAGAAACTGAAATTCATTCACAGATATACCGGTTGAGTGACTAAACTCTTCCTGGCTTGTTTACCTCTGGCTCTAGATTTGGACACCACGTCAGAGGAGGCATATCAAACAGATTGTGAAACATCTTCCTCTGTCCGCTGTACAGATCTGACACCGAACACTGTTACCTCCTGCTAATAATAGAAACACGACTCTTGGATTACACCAGACCGCCATGATGATCTGGTCGGTCGTTATATGGAGTTAAATGTTTTTAAATGTATAATCATTATTTAAAGGTGTATAGTCAAATATTAGAGGATATACAGTGATCCCCAAATGTATTCATACCCTTCCATTAAAGAAAAGGCAAAATTCACAATAGTCACTCAAATAATTACACATTGAAAAAAGTAATAATAAATAAACATTTACTAAATTATAATTTTGTGAAATAAGACATTGCTTTTGAATTGTGGTTGAAAACAATGATTAAAAAACAAACAAACACAAAAACAGACAAATTGGAGCACTTGAGTAGTGGGCCAAAATCAAAATATACGTCAACAGGTGCAGAAGTCTGATTAAGAGTTACGGAAAAACACTTGGATGCAGTGATTGCCTCAAAGTGTTGTTAAACTAAATATTGGTTTACGGGTCCGATCATGCTTTTTAAAAAAATATATATTTCTGTTGAATCACAATTCAAAAGCAATGTCATGATTTTCATTATTTATTTATTTTTATTATTACTTTTGTCAGTTTCAACTTATTTCAGTGACAGCTGTTTGTTTTCCTTCTTTAATGGGAGGGTATGAATAAATTTGAGGATGACTGTATTCTTGGTGTGGCAACAAAATACAGCTTCTACATTATTACAGTAACAAACAGAAGGCCAAGAATCAGAACCAGCCTGTAATATTTCAAAATTTTATTAACGAACATAATCTCTGAGGAACAACAGCAGTTCTCGCGCTCTCTGTACATGCAACTGTAGAAAATAACAATTTAGAATTTTTACTTTTCAGTTTTAGTCTTTTTTCCCCCCCCATCCATACTCATTTTCAGTTTCTCTCCTTTTTAATCTTTTTTTTTTCTTTTTCTTTTTTTTTTTTTTTTCCAGGAAATCAACAACAGCTAGAGGTGAAAGTACTGGATTTCTGTTACAGCACTGACGATAGCATCAACAAAAACCCTCATATACACCGCCCCCACCCCACCCCACCCCCCTTAGCTGCTCCAACAATATGTACACAAATAAACTACATTGTACAAATAAAAAAAATGTTACATTGTTACATCATAATCACCTGCAGCGAGCGCACACAGCCCGTTGCTGTTAGAACCCCACATTCTACGCAATTTTTCAGACTAGTACAAAGAGGAGGGTGCAAAACGTCCTGGGAGGTTTTATTTACAGAGCTATGTACAGTATGTCTCTTTCACGCATTACAAGGAGGAAAATTTACACAGCGGAGACAAACTTCAACTCAAACATACCACAGGTGTCAGAAAAAAACAAAAAGATAATAAATAGGTTATTTCTCACCATTTAATGAGTAGTTCTCCATGCTTTTTTATTAGTCATCTTCCATTCAAAAAAAAAAAAAAAAAAAGGAACAAAAACCAGCTACAGTCTGGGTTTTTAATTAAAAAACAAAACAAAAGAAAACTAGAAAAAAGGCTTGAAATCGTGATTCTATATAATGAAAAAAATAGCAATTATGTATATTTATGTCCAGTAAGAAAAAACAACAAATAACAAATCTAAAATAAACATTACGCGTGAATGTGAGGAGAGTAGAGGTAATATGTTGCTGACTGAGGTGGTGTCAGGCTAGCATCTGTATCACCACGGCCAAGTGCTCTACTGTGCATCTGAGGACTGATGTGTGTTTTGTGTCTGTATTCAATTTTACCTTCCGTTTGTTGGATGTTCGCACCGAAGGATCAGCGTGCATGGATGTGTTTAGTCTATTGCTCTGTGCAGCGGCATGCCGCGAACTAGGGGAGAAATCGCCTGTCGGTTGCATCGACCATCACCATTTCAAGCCTTTGTGATTCAAACAAATGACTTACATGAATTACAGAAGTACAAACAAAGGCAGGGCTTAGACCGCTAAAAAAGGTGACACGTGAAACGGAAACACTCTTGATGTCTTGTAAACAATAGTGAGAGGGTGTCGGTCAGGGCATAGTAACGGTATACATTCTGCTTGATTAGCAACGTGATTGACATGCCACTGGTGTTTATTCTCTATACACGAACAAAAAAAAAACAAAAAAAACAAAAAACAAAAAACAACCCCCCCCCCCCCAAAAGATAAACACCACAACATTCAAAATTACATACACTTAGTTAAAAGACACACAAGGATTTTGTGAACAAAAGACACCCTTTACCCTTTTCCCAAAAACTGTAAGAAACCAACAATAAAAATGAAAACATGACAAACAGGGGTTTAAAAACCTATTTTCTGCTATTCGTATCCAAATGTGTCTGTATACCAACCAGGATGTGTGTGTATCTCTCAAAAATATCCAGGACTATACATCTAGCCACCTTGTCTGCACAGTGTAATAGCAACAACCATTGCACTCGACTAGACATACCATACACAGCTATGCTGACTGACAGTGTATAAATAACTTAAAAACTTTTAGATAATATTACCATCAGGATACGTGAGCAGCTTTCACACACAGACAGGCAGCCTGTGTGGTAGGTCGGGAAAGCTTTTCAAAACGAAGACCCAATAAAAATAGAGAACCAATACAAGCCATCACAAATCAACATTCCAATGGGGTTTTTAACAGCAAAAAAAAAAAAAAAAGTCTCTTCAGCACAAACCTGTTTCTTTACCCTCCACTGTTTGTGTTAAATGTCTGTTCACTTTTTGGTTCATTCTGACAAGATTTAAGTTTCGTTAACTGTCTAGCTGTCTGCTTGGGCCTGACGCAAGAACATGATAACAACAAATGTCACCACACAACTGAATACTATGAGGAAGTAACCTAACATTTAAAATCCCTGACAACGCTAGCCAAGCCCATTGTAGATGAAACATTGATAAAAATTACAAGTATGATGTGACTGGAGCTAAATGTTTACTGAGCCTATTGTGACTTCACTGACTGCTCATATTAGGGAACCTAAACTCCTTCTGGGCTGTAATAAAATTGAAATATATTTAAAAACACCCATTCAAGTGAAAGGCCTTAGGGTCTCATGCTAAGCCAAATGACTTTTCTGACACACTGGCGCCACCCAGTGAGTACAGCTGGAACAGCACCAAGAAAATAAGCTGCTCTGCAATTTTAGACAAGGGGCAGACAGAAAGGACATAACAATATTAAGAGTCAGTACGGAATGAAACCTTTCAGTCTACTTAACGTGAAAATCAGACAAGCCGGGGGAACAGGACAAGTAGTGAAGGTGCTGAAAGACCCGTGTCTTGTTGGTGTTAGACGATGATAGGAAATGATTTCCAATTTTTGCACATTAAAAACAAGCAAAAATAATTTGAAACCATTCTACACTAATATGATGGTTTTGCTTGTGAATGACATCTCTAACTTGCATCCCACCCATATATATCTATGTGATTTTGCCCAACAATGAGTACATTTTTTTCACTGAAAAAGGCATTTTCTTGGTTCAAAATTTTTCAGATATAATTGTGTAGTAAAGTAATGAATAATAATCTGTCTATTCTTTAAATAAATCCTCAACAACTATTCTGCTACATTTGAGGGACTGTATGGTGGCTGGCCTGTGGGAGGCCCTTTTATCCAGAAGCGTTCTCTGTCAGCTATTTGTGTTGTGGTGACTTCATGGCCAGGTGAGTTTCTTTAAACTCGGACTGAATCTAGAGATGGGATCATAAACATGTGCACTGGAGTCTTTCAAATACTGACAGAATCATGTACACATTTTGGCCCATGGATATGGGGGGGTGGGGGTGGGGGTGGGGGTGGGGGAGAAGTGCTGCCCAAAAGTGAACTGTACATAAAAAGATAATTTTTATTTCTTTTATGTTTTTTTTTCCTTTACACTTAACTGAGTGATATTACAGTACATAAGTTATTTACAACTGTGCAGTAATGTGTGGCAAAATAAATTATCTAGAAGGCAGCAAGAATACATTGGTTAACGAATATAAAAACTGTACATAATTTACGGAATACAACTTTTTTTCAGTTTTCTTTTGTTTTGTTTTTTTCCATTAAACTAATATTGGCTCTGTAGTGTTTCAAGTCACTTCCTCAGAAACAATGAAATGCCCAAGTAAAGAAATACACAAAAACAATATTTCTCTCCTCCTGCCAAACAACATTTTTTCTCAATAGTCTCTTTGAATCTCAACATTCGTTATGTTTGTTTCTTCTGGTTGTCCTGTGGTGTTTTTGCAGTCCATGGTGGTCTGATGTGTTGTTGTTGGAGCAAACATGCTCGCTGAGGAACACTCCGGTCTGTCCTCAGAGATCCATGTCTGTCCTCTTTTGTTTAGCCAGGCTGAGAGGCTGCAGGGACAGTCTCTTCCTCTCAGACACTGGGCCCTGACGTGCACACACATCGTAACCCCTCTGCTGTATTCCAACCTGCTGCAGGCTTTGTTACCCTACTGTTTAGCTATGCCCGGTGTAGTATGAAAAAGGGGGCATCCTTCTGGGTATGCGGTCTTGTAGCCCCTAAAACCATCAGTGGCTGGCCTCGCTTCTTGAATCAACTGAAGATCCACATGATATACCATGGCTCCGTTGCCTTCCTCTGGGTCACCGCTGGACTCCTAGCCCACCCAGAGCCCTGCGTCGACAGGGGAGGCTTCTCCTCAGTCCCCCTCAGAACAGGCACCACACTGTTGGGCGAGCTCTTCTCTGATACGTCCTCCTAGTGGTGGTGGTGGGTATTGAAGCAGGGACCAAAAACGAACACAGAAAATATATCTCTGTCCCCTGTCTCACTGTAACTGAGCACTGAGGAGTTGTGTCTCGATGTCAGAGCCCCACAGCAAAAACTGTTTCTGCTTTTCACACTCTGATCAAACAAAAGCGTAAAAACTTTGAGGATGAAAGTGCAAGTTGTGTATTTTCTTTTCCCCCAGTAAAAACAAGTTTCCTTCTTCACGGAAGGGAATCCAGAGCAAGTTTTTCATCTTTACTCTTTTTTTATAGAATATAATTTTCTTGTCTAAAGTCCTCTTTCGAACTTGCTAGCCCTTTCCTTTCGTTCTGTCCAACGAAGTCTCTTTGAGAAGAAGTGATTCAGATGAAGCTTGTTCTCGTTCTGTGAGCACAGGTGTGTCACGCAGGCAGCAGGACAAAGTCATCGTTGACATCGACCATTGGCACGTAGAAGGACGGGACTTCATTGACGCAGAGGGACTTGTGTCCTGCTGGATCCAGCTCCTGGACCTTCAACTGCCACTCCATCCTTTGCACTGCGTTGAGGGCTGCTGCCTCGTGTTGCTGCCGCATCAACAAACATGTCTGGGGAAGAAAGAGGCAAGCATAAATTTAGTTTGTACTGACACAAATCCTGGAATCTATGCCTTTAAATGGAAAAATATACACAAAACCACTACAGAGTAACTGTATTTACCTTCATGCGGTCATATTTATCATCTACATCCTGGATCCAGGAAATGAACTGACGTGCGTTGAAGCGATCTCTAACAGATTTGTTCTCATCACCCTGAGAGCACAGAACAAATTTTAGTGCTGACAAAGTAATAACTGGCTGCAGACATACCACTTAGGTGGGGATGTATGCATTTCCTACCTGGCTCTCCGATGGCATGTTGTATACTTCAGAGTCCAACAGCATGGTGCAGGCACTGAATGGCACAGCCTGATTAGCTATTGTCCGGGCTGCTCTGCAGTGGACCCGTAAAACCTCCTGTTCACATGAAACAATCAGCTTCTCCTGTGAACAGTAAGCACAACACAGAAAGGACAAAAATATTAGATATATTGTTGAACATCAGGATGACTGGCTGCTTTTTGAGGTTAATAAAAATGGGTCTTGAACATCCAAACTGCTGTTTCACAGAAATGGTTGTCACTTAATTAGGGAGAGATGAAATAGATTTGTGCCTGCAGTTCACTCTGGCTCAACCTAGGAGGACTATGCAGATTTCACTTATTTATATTTAGAAATAGGCTTTGATCTTTCATCAAAGGAGTGCTCATGGCATTCAGTGCACATGTGTCCCTGTATGTATAAAAGCAGGGATGGAGTGATCTATGAGTGAATTTAGGACAGAGAACAAGCCTAAAAAATAAATGAGGCATGTAGAAAAACATGCACATTTAGAGAGAATATATTTCTTACCCGTTCTATGCTGTGCTGCAACCTGAGCTTTCCTCTCACTGCCTCCTGTTGCCTGAAGAGCTCCTTCAGAGGTTCTGACAGCGATGGAGGTGGGGCAATCTGATGAGCAAAACACAAACAAGTACCGTTTACCGTCTGACCCCTATTATAACAGAACAGAGAGTGTATATAAAAAGAGCTTCATTTACACCTCTGCAGTAAGATACAGTATTTATCTCTAGAAATAAACAATTTCCATGCCCTTATTTACCATCTGAATAGCTTTTTTTGCCATCAAAAATGATAAATGTTTACAGATTAAACCTTCTAACCTACTCACAACTTTGGGTTTGTCAAAAGGGAGAATGTAAATGCATGGTAACTTACCACAGGGATGTGAAGCTTGCTGAGGGGTTTGCCATCTAGCAGGTATGAGCCAGTGTAGGTCACATATTCAGCATAACACTGTGGGGCCTGAGGGGTGATGTAACACAGAATCTTCCTCTTTTCTTCAATCTTCTTCCTGATCTGTAGGTACTCAAAGTAAGGGTTGGAACGGTCACTGTGGTACGGCTCAATATCATCCAGCTTGATGGCGTTGACTACTACAGCTAAAGTCTGCTGGATCATTTCCCTAGTCTGCTGCATGGCTGTATTTACCAGCTGGACTTGGACTTGCTGCCCAGCAGAACGTGGAAATTTCCTCTTTCGTGGGTGCTGGGTCTGAGATTCCTCTTCGTCCACAGGGATAGGACGACCTTTTGTTGCCTTACTGAGGACCACTGACGCAGAGGTCGTCATAGAAGCAGATAAAGACACTGCTGGAGTTGAATTAGACGTAACAGAAGAGACAGTAAGCCCAGAGTCTTTGTCTTTCTTCAGGGCTGAGAAGGAAGGGGCTGAGGTGGGTGTCGGGGTTCTTGTAGGAATTGGGTTAATGCTCACTGCTGGACTGGTCGTCACTGGGGTGGCAGTGCCGGTCGAACAAATTATACTGGAGGTAGGAGGGACAGCAGCAGCAGAGGAATTGTTCTTGGCGCGATAGCGGGTCATCCTTTGAGGGATTTCATCTACCTTCTTGGATATATCTACAGTGGCGGATACAGTGGTTAGGGTTACCGGTGTTAGCTTGGATGTGGGCTCCTGAGTGTCTGGTAGCTCCACTGTGCTGGAGAGGGTGACTGGCACTGGGAGTTGAGGGAGAGGACTGCATGAAACAGAGTCTGTGACAGTCTCAGACATTTCCTCCTGTCTCGCCTCTGACTTGACAGCAGATACTGAATCCAGCGGTAACTGCAACGACTCAGGGACGGAATGGATCTGTAAGTGATGCTGCTGACTGGCATCTGATTTCACAGATGAATACAACATATTAGGATCCGACTCATCCGGTCCTCCATAAGGTAATTTTCTCTCCAAAATGCTGCTTTGTTGTTGGGTAAGAGACAAAGTGCTGTTGATGGGCACACTTTGAGGATCAGGGTCCAACTCTTGCTGAAAGGTGGCATGTGGTGATGGTACCACCAAGTCTTGTCCAGCAGATTCCCCTAAACCTTGGTCCCTAGCAGGGCATGATGTCTTTGCCAGGCTTGGTAGGTCTACCTCCATTATGTCTGGGTCATCTCTCTCTGTAATTGTATGTCTAATGTGGGTCGGCACAGTCTTGTTGTGGTCAGCCAGGTCAGGTTCTCGAGACTCGGCTTCTTCTGACTTGTCCGGAAGTGGAAGGTCAGGCAAGGAGAACGGTCCCAGGTCATCCAGCTCATCTGCATCAGCTGAGAATTGGTCTGCCCAGGGCACCACGGGCTCAGGGCCCACAGCAGGTGCCATGGGACCATCAGTGGCATCACTGAAGCTGTGTGTGCTCTGTTTGCTGTCTGGCTCTACACATTGTGATTCTGTGTCCATCTGGTGTCCATCCTCTATGTTCGGTTTGTCCTGGAAGAAAGACTCTAGCCTATTGGAGGATAATGAGGTGTTTAGATAATTGTGTTCCCCATCCATGGCTGTGTCAGGCCTCTCCGGAGAGGGGATGTCAGCCACAGCCTCCTTCTGCTCATCAAAGTCTTCTGGGTCCTCTTTGTGCCACCTATTCCAGGTAGCATAAGGGGGAGTGACGGATGGGTGTCCAGACAAGGGCTGCATGTCGTCTGAATGAGAGTAAGGGCTGGTTATTTTGGAGACGGCAGCCTCGATCTCACCATATGTCCTGTGTGGCGATTTGAGATCCATATCAGGGTTCCAGCCCATGCTGTGGTCAAAACAATTCTCTCCATGGTTGGGTGCAGAGTGTGAGGGGGACAGCTGGTGAACCTCTGGCTCCTGCTGCTCTGGAGACTCTGCAGGCCAGCTCTTCCTCAGAGGGTCCTCAACTTGAGGGGAGAAGGAACATGGCTCTCTTGTTTGTTCTGGCTCTTCCACTCCACAGTGGTCTCCATCAGCTCTGTCATCCCCATCACATTCTTCCTCCTCCTCTTCCTCCTCCTCCTCGTCATCCTCCTCCTCCTGCTGCTCCTGTTCTTCTGTGACAGAGGGTAGATCTGAGAGGACTAGATTAGGCTCACTGTGGTGAGGCTCAGATATATCATCAATATCCAGGGGTGGCAAAGCAGCAGGAGCTGGAGTTGGTGGTGCAGCGATGTCAAAGCAGGGCTCCTGGGGATCTGGCCTGTGAACTGGTGTGGAAGGTTTGGGCAAGAAACTGTTGTATACACTTTCAGGAAGGTGCTCATTGACTTCCGTGCCAGCAAGAGTTGGTGCTGCCACATCTGGTGTTGGATGGGCTGGCTCCCGTCGAGGCGACAAGATTCTCATTGGGGAGAAATAGGGTGATAGGCACTCCAACCTATCCACAGTTGCAGATTTGTCCTCTAGAGGTTGGGAAGAAGATGATGGATCAAATTCAGCCACTGGATCACTCTGCTGTCGAAGAAACTTGTCAGCCTCAGTCTTGAACTCGTCCTCCAAAGGCCTGCGGATGTCAGAGGATGCAGAACGGCTGACAAGTGGCAGCTGGAGGTTCTTCGCAGGGGTAGGACAAGTGCCCTCCTGGAAACTCTGGGAGTTAGAGTACCTGCTGGGTGAACAACAGAAAGACATTAGGAAATATGCCACATTCAGTACAAAACAAAATAGTCAAAATGATCAAAAGAGTAACCCAGCAGCATGTTTGAAATTTTAAATACCTTTCAAAGAACGATGGGGAGCAGGCATTCATTGACATAGTCATAGCTGATGAGTTTTGGCAGTCCAGGCCATCCAGCATAATGTCAGGATAATCCTCTGCACTACAAGAGGGTGTACGTGGAGTCTGCATTACTTCCTCAAAGCTTGGGCAAGAGATGACAGAGGTCGGTGTGGGGACACCAGTTGGCCTGTTCTGATCTGGCCTGGGAGAAGCAGGGAGGTTCTCCTTCATTTGGTGACCAGCCAGCCAGTCCTTTGAGCTCTGACTGTCGGTAGGCTGGAACTTCCTGCTCGGAGACATCATTTGAGCTGGGAGTCCCACATCCTTTAGCTTTTTTTCTTTAAGACCAGACTCCAGGCTGTTGGATTTCTTTGATGATAGCTCACTGCGGCTTTTCCGTACTTCCTCTGTAGACTTGGTTTTGTCTTTGAGTTTAGGGTCCCCTGACTTGGGTCTCAGCTTCTCCATCTGCTTCATCCTCTCTTTATGTCTCTTGTGGCGCTCTTCAATTTCCTGGTCTTTTAGACTCAACATCTGACCAAAACTTGTCATTTGATAATCACCATCCACCAACAGTTTTTCGCGTGGACGGCTATCTTTCCGCATTGTGTCTTTGGACTGAGTGAGCTTTTCGTTTTCATCCTTTACTTTAGATTTACTGTGGTCCATTCTGTTGTCTTTGTCCAATGTATCCCGATTTCTCTCTTTTTTCACATCAAATTTTGGGCTTTCTTCTTTTGACCTGTCCTTCAGAACAGTAACCTGTGGGCTATCTTTTAACCCTGACTTTACATCCTCTTTGGAGTGTTTAAATAACCCAAAGCCATCAGCGTATTTGTTCTTCTCCTCCTTAACTTTTTCCTTATGTTTCTCCTTTTTCTTTTTGTCCTTCATCCTGTCACTGATGACACCAGTTGATTTGTCTTTGTCCTTTTTGGACATCTCTTTTTCAAACTCCAATGTTTTGTCTAAGTCATCTTCGCCGTCTCCCTTACCACCATATGGGAATGTGTAAGGGTCTGCTTCGAGAGGCATTGGCTCTTTCTCAAAGGGTAGACTCTCTCTGCGGCTGTAGGACTCTCTGATCTCCTCAGTTTTGTCACGTTTGTCTCCTTTGTCCTTCTTGACCTTTTCTTTGTCCTTATCATGGCTTTTCTTGGATGAAGATGAAGACGAATGTCGATGCCTCTCTTTCTCCCTGAACTTCTCCTGCGGTGTAGATACGGACAGGGAGTCTCTCCTGTCCTCAGACATATCAGTCAGGCTGATGGTGTCATAGTAACTCGTGAGGACTGGCTCATGACCTCTGTCAGTGAAACTATCTGAGGAGATTTCACTGTTCTTGTCATTGGAGTCATCCTTGTAGTCATTCATAGCCTCCTCTTCCAGTTTTTCTAAGAGGGACTTTTCACTCTCACCACTGCCTTTTGAGGGCTTCCTTTCCTTAGAATGGTCCTGCTTGTCTTTATATTTGCTCTTTGTCTTTTCCTCACTTGTGTCCCTTTTGTCCAACAGCTTCTGCTTATTTTTCTTTTCCTGGTTTGAGTCCACTGACATCCTGTCTTTTCTCTCCTTATGTTTTGCATCCACAGAATCTTTCTTGTCTTTGTTGTGTTTCTCAAGGGAGCCTTTCCTCTCTTTGCCTGTGTCAAATGTGGCTTTATCTTTCTTCTTTTCTTTGTGTTCTTTGTCTTTTGCCTTTTCTGTGTTGTGTTTAGCCTCTGCTGATGATTTTCTATTTTTTTCTGATGGGAAGTGATCCAGCTCATCCTGATCAGGTGTTGAATCTTTTCTGATGGAATCTGACACAAGTACACTACTGTTATAGCTGTCTTCATCATCATCGCTTTCGTCAGTGAATATGTCAGCTATGTTGTACCACGTTTTCTCACGGATTTTCTCTGGTTTTCTTTCTTCTTTCTTTACCTCCAAGAAATCCTTCTCCCTGTCAGTATGCTTGTCTTGAGAGGCCTTTTCTTTTTTGTCCTTTGTCTGTTCTGAAGACATCTTTCGATCTTTGTCTTTGCCATGAGAGTCTTTGTGTTTGTCTTTGGCTCCCTCCTTCTTGTCTTTGGTGCCTCGGTCTGCATCCTTTTCCTTGACAGTTTTTTCTGTGGAGCTTTTCTCGCTCTTGTCCTTCTCCTGATCAGCTCCTCTGTCTTTCGTTTTCTCCTTGTGCTTGTCAGCTTTCATCTTGTCTCGCTTATCTATTCCCTCACCCTTCTTTTCTTTCTCCTTTCCAGAGTGGTTTCTTTCTCTGATGTCACATGATTTACCGACAGCATCAATGTCTTTGAAGAAAGTATCATTGCCATATTCATCTCTTATAACCTCCTGCTTGATTTTTATGTCCTTTCTTTCCTTCATGAAGTCATATGAGTCTTTACGGTCTCTGCAGCTGTCCAGAGAATCCTTGTCTTTTTTGTCTTTGACTGTCTCTGTGGACTCCTTCCGCTTCTTTTCTTTCTCAACCGAGTGGCTGGAGTTTAGTTTTTGTTTTTCGGACCAGTCTTTTTTCTTTTCATTTGTCTTTTCCGAGGAGTCTTTGTCTTTCTTTTTAGAAGTGGCTTCCTTCTCTGATCTTTTATCACTGTGATCTGATTTCTTGTCCTTGACTTTGTTTTCTTTCCTCCTCGTCTCCTCCTTAACAGTCTCAACAATAAGTTTAACAGCGTTGTTGGCTTTGTATTCCTTGTACTCTTTGACAGGAGCGTCCCAGCTGTCATCTCCATAGAGGGAAGAGTCAGAAGACATCTCTGAGCCCCATCTGTCATGATGGTCATCTGAGGCACTGAGCTTTGTGTCCTCCAGATTGAGGAAACGGTTGTTAATGTCATAGTCTTCATACTCACATTCTTCCTTTGGTGCTTTGTCTTTCTTACATTTCTCCTTCTCCTCCTTGGTGTTTTTCTCCTTGTCCACCTTTAAATGCTTTTCCTCCTTCTGCTCACTTTTCCTGTCTGCCTTTGAGGAGGACTTCTCCTTGGACTTTTTCTTTTTCTCCTCTTTGTGAGCCTTTTGTTTATCCTCCTTGGGTTTCTCCTTTTCTTTGACATTTCGATCCTTGTCAGATTTCACAGGCTTTTCCCTCTCCTCCTTATTTGTCTTGTCCTTGGTGGAGTCCTTAGTTTTCTTGTTTTTCTCTTCTTTTGCTGTTCTATGCAGGTCTTTTCCAGACGACCAGTCCTTATCCTCAGACTTGGTTTTCGAAAGCCTATCGTCCTTTTTCGAATGGTCTTTTTCGTGTTTGGATAACTTGACCTTGCTCTCAGCTGGCGATTCTGACTCAACAATTAGGGACTTCTGCCTTGAATCGTCAAAATCAAAGGAATAGCTCTTGACAAATTTCTCATTCATATCCTGATTAAGGACTAGGCTAGGAGCTTTATCCTTTTCCCTATTTTTGTGCTTGTGCTTCACTTTATGCTTTTTCAACACTTTGCCATCTACATCGGTTTTGGAGACTGCACTTTCTGTAGTGGAGTTCTTGTAGAGCTCAGAATTTTTCTTGTCTATAGTATTACTGTGCACGTTGTTGTTTTTCTTCTTGTTTTCCTGCGCTTTCCTCTTAACCTGTTTTATTGACTCGACACTGGAATCAGCAGAGGAGTAGTCAGACTCACTGGACAGTCTTGTTCTGACTGAATCTGAGAGAGAACTGACATCTGACCATGTAGGAGATGACACAGTCTTCCAGCCATCTGTCCTCCACTGCTTAGGATGCTGTTCTGCTAATGATGGTGCCTGTTTCTGAGAGTTCAAGTTTCCATGGGAAGAGGAGGAGGATGCATTAAAGCCAGGGGATTCTTTCAGATTCGTTGCAGAAGAGTCCTTTATACTATTTGAGCCCTTATCGTCCTCACTCTCAACATCTCCACAATCAGAGTCAGATGTACAGAATTTGTCATTGACTTTCCCAAACCTGACTTCTTTACTGACATTATTTTTACTCTCCTTCTTTCGCTTCTTTTTGACTTTATTCTTGTCTTTTTGTTGTTTAGAGCTCATACTGCCAGAGTCTCTAGTCTTGGTATTTGTTTGCTGGGCTTGCTGCCGTGGCGTAGGCGCTGGTGTGAAACACAACGTCCTATCATCCTCGTCTGAACTGTTACTGTCAGAGATAATCCGCCTGACAGTTTTCTTTGGTGTGAGCGAGTTGCTTTTGGAATAGGTTTTAACCTCCATCTTGGGTATAGAGATGAAGCTGTTGGTCTTGCTAATTGAGTCCTTGCGGAAGTCTTTTTTCAAGAGGTGTTTATCGTCCACAGGAGGGACACGTTCCTCCTCATCGTCCTCATCAAATTCGTATTCATCTTTGACAGGTGTGACGGCAGATTTAGGAGGGTCTGCAGTTTTCCCTTTTAACTTCAGGCCCTTCTCAAACTCTGAGTCTGTGTTATTGCCATCGACAGAGCTGGATGGGGCAAATGAGGGGGCATCTTCCTCCTCTGAAGATTCTGTAGGATGAAAAAAGAAGCACAATCAAAACACAATTTAATTAAACACCGCAAAACTCATCTATACAAATAACTTGTACAACAGTCAAGTAATCAGACAACTCAAATATCCAATAGTACATACCCGATGAACTTTCTTCACTTGAGGTGTAAGTGCCTTTTCCCAGCAACAGATTCAGCATAGTTGGCGAGTTGGCGACCTTGAGTGGTGTTTCACCTCTCCTGTTGCTTTGACGTGGGTCCCCTCCATACCGTAAAAGTAGCTTAACCACCTGAAATAAATAAAAAGAAATAATTCACTCAAGTAAACTGCAATTTAATATGGGACTTCTCTTATGGTTCAGACTTTAGATGTCAAAGGACACAAAATTAATTCTACAATAACTTCATAGTTATCATTTAGTCATGTAATGAGGTATAAGATATTCTGACATTTAGTTCAACATATTGTCAGAATAATGAAAGACTAAAAACTGATTTTACTCTAGCCAAACTGCTTATTGGACGGTCATAACTCCTCCCCTCTTTCTGTAAGCAGAATGGGTGGGAGGTCTCTGTTGAACCGTTTGAGTAACTTTCCAAAATCGATGATCTGATTTACATCCACTTCACGGCAGCTGTGCAGAGGTTAGATAGTTTAGGGGTTTGAAATTCTCCCGCCAGTTCTCTTTTTTAAATTTGTTACAAGTCTACCTAAGCCTTTAAAAAAAAATAAAATAAAAAAAACTTGTTTTCCTTGACTTGCAGCAGTCAGTGCAAGACTCTAAATTCATTGTAAGACTTTAAATTTAGAAATGTTATTTTGATCTCAACTGTTTTGTTAAAATGTTGAGTCCATTTGGTCATGAGGTGCCTTTTGCTAATTGGAATTCATTTTACCTTGAAATGTCCGTTGTTGGATGCATCATGTAGAGGGGTGTCATCATCCAGACCCTTGGTGTTGACCTCTGCTCCGGCTGCCAGCAGCTGCTTGGCCACATCATAATACCCCCTGTTGCACGCCTCATGCAATGCAGTCCAGCCTAAACACAAGGAGAATTACTGTATAAGAAGGACATACTACATATGATTGAATATATATTGCTTCACCCATGAAGTAAAGAACAGCGTAAACAAAGAGCCTCTTACCTGCAAAGTCTTTTACATTCACATCAGCTCCCTCACTGATGAGCTCCTTGATGCGGCGTACCTCTCCACGGATTGCTGCTCTGTGCAGTCGAGTCTCTCCTCTCTCATTCCGTTTATTCACTTTGTCTTTGGTTTTAGATGCAGAGTTTGGCGTTCCCTTCTGACCCAGACTGGACTGTGACTGATGCTTTGGTGTTGTGTCTGTAGGTAGGAGATGAACATGTCACTTCAACACTAAAACAGTCTGTTATGCACAATTTCTAAAAACAATTGCTTCAATGGTTTGTTTTGTCCACTATTTGTATCATGAAAAACTGGACTTTAAACTGCTTGCAGCCAGAAGGGGGCAATCACACACAGCATTCAGCAGCAGAGTGGTTGGACCTACTTTACTTGAGCTCATTTCATCACATTTACAAGATTAAACCCAAGCCTTAATCACATTTACATTATTGAGTTTGTGCAGCTATTGTCCCAAATGATATTTGAAACACACTCACTTAATCTATGTCCATGCCTCCAGGCATGCAACAAAGGAATTAATAAATAAAAGTGGCTATGCATTGGTCCTCACAAACCTAAATTTATCTTGAATGTCAACTGTAAATAAAAATTACATGTTTGCAACAATAATATTATTTTAAGTGTCTGATTAATTTATGGCCAAATTACATTGCCTACAAAAAAAAAAAGAAGTATAATACGAGCAGACATAAACAGGCAGTAATTTAAACGAATAATCATCTAACATCAGAGAGGACATCAAATAAGTTAACAGCAATTCAATTCTTGCAGGCTTTTTGCATTTGAATGTCTGTTGTAATTTGGCCCAGATATTGAGATTGCACCATCAGTTCCAGACTAATGTAAAACCAGAAGAAGAGGTAGTTTCATTTCCTTACATGCTGTATTTTAGTAAAAATAATTCCACTCCTGTAAATGAACTGATACGTAGCTGCTAAGACAAAACAATATCTATCCCTGATAGCATATGAAAATGAAAAATAAAGTATTTTTCATTCATTTCATTGCTGCTGGAATGAGAATTAATATGGATTAACTTGTGATATATTCAACTTAAGCAGTTAGTTCTGTCCAGAGGCAGAGTATTGACTGACATGTGGCCAAAAAACAAAACAAAACTAAACAACAAAGGCAAAGTGCTCAACAACCACAAAATAAACAAAAACAATCAACCTATGCCTTCCTCTGCACCTAACCCTCTTTAAGCCCACCTACATAGCTCTCACATACAAACAGTCTACATATACAGCTCTCTTCCATCCCTTTTTCCTTGTCCGCCACCCATCCACAGAATACGTGGCCTAAATGATAAGTACGCACCTGGACTATTGACGGACTCCTCAGCTGTCATTTGCATGAGCAAGGCCACCTGCTGCCGCTCAGAGAGGGGGTACCCGGCCCGGATCCCTGGCATCCCCATTCCAAACGGCAAGCCCGCCTTCCGGGTGTTGGTGGGCTCCTTTTTAATGCGCTTCCGCTCTGGACCTGGTTTCTCTGTAATGAGAGCGAGAGGAGAGGAGCAAAGTTAATTTTATTGGGTTGCACGCATGCACACAACAACATGTTTATTCACAGATACACAAATGTAATTTACTGAAGCTGAAGGGAGGGGAGAGTAATAAGAGTGTTATTAGTGCTATAACAATAAAAGACATTTCATATTAGTGTGAATTTATTATCTCTCTGGTTATGCTAAGAAAGCATAAGCAGCTTATCATTGTTTTTTGCTACATTATTTCATCTTGTTTACATAAAGACTATAATAAACAAAAGTGTTTATCTAAATGAAAGCCATCACCTATATTTTCTATTTTCTTAATCTTTTTCCGTTATGAAAATTCATACAACACATTGAATATATCACAACAATAGGACTGAGCTTTTCTTGATCAATCCTTTAGCCAACAAGTGGGGATAACTACAACAAAAGCTTTTTATAGGTGGTACTCCTAAACTACTTACTTTGTCAGACCAAATGTCAATAAAGCAAAAAGCATTCATTTAACAATAAACAATAATTTCTATAGTAAACGTCTACTGGTTTGCTTTCCTGCCATCTAAATTCACCTCAGCAGAAAAAAACCCACTACACAGGCGAACATATAACATACTGTGTATGCAGCCTAGCATGTGAGAGGTTTGTTGGTCGCAGTGGGTGACTTTTGTGTTATTACCCAGCTATCCCTAAGGAAGGGAGGGGCCAATAAGCAGTGTGTTTATGTCTGTCTGTCTCCAAGCCAATCAGCCAGAATCATGAAGAGAGGAAAGAGGGTGTGACTTGGCAGAACCGTGGTTATTATGAAATAGCTGGTGTATATTTCAATTCAACATGGCCTTGCCAAGGTCACCACATGCCTGCCTCCCTGCCTGGATTATTGGAGACATGGTGCTACTGGACAAAAGCAGCTGCTCCACAAAGACACACCCAGCAATTATTTTCAGTGGCAGCATACCATCTGATGACCCATGCAGAGGGTAAAGCTACACATGACTGTAACACTTCATGACTGAGGGCGAGCAACTTTCACAGCAAACGGTCGCAACAATACAGACGCCTACCACAAAGAGAAATAGAAACAGCTGCTTCAGATGTACATGTACCAGCAGAGCAGTGGATGTGTCTGAGCCTGATTTCTGTGGGTCTTCTCTCATTCCAAGACTAGCTGCATTGCTCAAGGCCACAAACACACATGTAAATAAGGCAAGAAGGAAGCATGGCAGCTCATGCTTCCAGAGCCTAAAGACTTTCCAGGAAAATATTTTTCCAGTCACAAATACAGGGCTGATGAACTTTCGCTAACATCTGTGAACACTTAGAGCTAATGTACCCTCCACCCATCTTTGATACACTCTCATGTTCTCCAAAGCATTTGCCATTTAGACACATTCCTTCTGCTAAGACTTTAACAGCAGGGACCACAGAAGCAGTCCAAACATGTTTTTTCAGAAGCAGAACAGAGAAAGTGCTAAGCTAGCTCTTCCAGGCTATGTTTACACGACTGGGAAGCAGGAAGGCAGCTATTACCCTGATGCACCCACAGAGGACTGCTACTAAATATACAAGGGCAAAATCTCCAAAACAATATTCATCAGCAGTAGCAGAGAACTGTTCAGGTTACCTTTGATATGGATCAGACTCCATGCAGCTTAAATCTAAATGAACACTGTGCAACAACCATGCATTTATTATTATATGCAACAATTAGAGCAAGTATGTGCACTAGCTACAATGAGAAATTATTACCCAGCAACTACTACGTGTACAAATGGGTGATTTTAATTTCACTAAATATTGTGGGAAAATGACACATAGCTACATATCAAGTATGTTCCACATCTCTGCAAAGGATGTGATGTAATTTTGCTTTCATAAGATTTTATTTGGTTAATTACAGTGAGGATTTTGGGAAAGATATCAAAGATGAAACATCAAAATGATAAGGACAGCCTGACTAAACATGACTGTGTTAAATGCATGCCTACAATTATTCATCGTGTGAGCAGAGATAAAAAATAAAAGTAACGTAGATTACCAAATTGCAAAAATTACAATTTCATAGTACATTGTGCATGCTCCCGAAGTATTCATCCAGTCTTTCGATTGAATGTCTATTTAGGGAACTCTGCTAGGGCTTTTATGTGTCTCAGTAAAATGATATTACTCAGCTTAAAGACAGGTTTGAAACCTTACTCTCCTTACTGCTTGAAACTTGACTAACAAGATAAGAGAAATGGAGAATGAAAAAGGAAAGCGGGCTAGCTAGGGTTTGTCACCCCATGAATAGACTGCCTACCTGAGCCAGGGGAAGGAGACCACATCAAACATAAATGTTAGGTTATAATAGAGGTAGATTTTAATATGCCAGGCAGACAATACTACAGTGCGAGTGAACGCCAAAACAAAGAGACTGTCTGCTTCAGTTAGCCAGCAGATGCCACGACAAGAAGAACCTCTCTAACCAGTCTGACCAGGTATGTTTGACCGTAGCACGTTAAGAGTAAAACAATGCTCTGTTTAGGGACTCATAAAAGTTGCATAAACAGGAAGTTAAGAGAGAAGAGCCAGGAAGTGGCCAACAGGATGTTTTCTCTATGCTCTGTACTGAGCAAGAAGGCTAAATATACAGTATGAACCCAGCAAGGTTGACGATGCTCTGCCTGTCCTCTCTGTCTCAGTGGCACATTTGTTACATTTGCTTTAATCAGTTGCAGTCAGGGGGTATATCTTCTCTCTATTGGTTATAATCAGAGCCACTGGCAGTATGGAAATCTCTGTGTGTTAAAACCTGTCTAACAATCTCTGCACACGACTGCCTCCCTTCAAAACCCACCATAAATACTGAGCTGCACAACTGACTAAAGGGCAACTACATTTGTTTGGCCAGCAGGTTTTAGCCTTCCACATTTTCTAAATAGGCATTTTCGCTACACTAAAAAATTCTTTCTGAAACTGAATTTTAGAATGGAAAGTATGATGATATGATTCATTTTCAATTTCTTTTTACACCAGGTTGCAGGCAGAGTGTCCAAAAACAAAGAAAAGCAGCACACGCTTTAGCATAAGGAACAGCACACTTGTGCCAGCTGGCTGACCAACAGATTAATTTAACAATTCCAATGCCACAAAATATGTCAACACCAAAGCTGCTTCTTTGACTGCAGTTAAATAGAGTATAACTAATTAGAGAACGCATGGGTCAACTTAATAATGTAAAAAGGCTTGTGTATGTCTCACTCCTTATAAAATGAAAGTTGTTACCCAACAAAAATACGAGGATGAGGAAGAAAATATGTAGATGTTTTGCTATTTTGATAATGTTTCAAAGATTAGGTGGAGATTGAACTCTTCACTAAAACAAAGCTGAAAACACTAGTTGTTGTCACACGTGAACAACATTTTCTGAATTATGGTGCGGTCGTAACCTTAATCTGGCAAGAAGGCTGAATTCTGCTGCTGTGGATAGTAGTAACAAGGAAGAAACAGGGGAAGAAGAGTGGAAGGAGGATGACCACAGGAATGAGGTTTGCTGCTGTCTAGCACTTCTCAGGAGGTGGTCAAGGAGAGCTTGGAAGGGATGAGTGCTGAAGGGCTAAGAGCTTTATTAACTTCAATTTTAATGAACTGCTGTGTGCTGTCCACAGGTGTACAGTGAATACATATTCCTGTCCCTGAACAAGCTCACTTACAGACTCCTGTAATATATTTAAACCCTAAACATGCGCATGCTAATTAGAGGCTGAGATGACAGCAAGCATACAAGCTACATCGGCATTTGTCTCGGTAGAATTGAACATTTAACATCAATCCAAGCTTAAGCTAGATTAGTTCAGATTAATTTAGTCTTAAATAGCGACAAAAAAGTGCACAAACTAGGCCTGAGTGATAAAACAAGAGCAATAGGTATCATCAATATACATTTCAACAGAAATAAGAAAACTGTTCGATACAGTGTTTGGTAGTTTCACTTATATACAAATTGAGAAGCCAGTTTGGTAGCACAAACTTCAAGTGTGCACCATCTCCATCAACTGCCTGGTATATCCCTTGATAATGGAGCATGGCTACGAATTGTTTAGTTGCACGTTCAGCATGCAATACAACAGAAGAAGAGCGAAAAATGAGTGCACATGGAGAAGAAATTGTGGTAAAAAGGGAGAGATCAGTTTGCCAGTATGGCATTTTAAAAAAAAAAAAGTCTGATTGAGACCAGGACACCGCTGCTCGGAAACTCTGCAAAAAAAACTATATAAACCAAGAGTGGGAATACAACAAACTTATTGTATTACATTTATTGCCTCCACACTTTGAAGAAAAAAAACAACATACCACCAGTCACAACCTACATCTCAAGAAACAACCTGCAGGAAGTTTACAACGAAAGCACTCAGCAACAATACTGTATGAAAACACATTCAAATGGGAAAAGGACATAACCCACACACTAGCATAATGCATTGCTAAGGATATGCCACTCACTATGGTTGAGAAGTCTGTCTTCAGAAAGTTTCTGAGCAAGGTTGACCATCTGCTATGTTGTCCTGGGCTGGAAGCACTAGGACACACTGAACTTTATTCCAAGTGTGGAGAATTCATAAAAACAATTAGCTGTCTGCTAGTTTGCCACAAGCTCTGACATTTGGTCGAGTCATACATGGACCTAGTATATTAGCTTGATTAATAATTTTATCTGTATGTATTCTTAATTACATGTTTGTCACTTAGTTGTGGTAATTTTCTCTGCTGTTAACATTTAAAGTAATCAGCATTTGTGTGCTTTTCATTACATTTTTAAAATTCTAAATGAAACAGTTAAATTGAGTCTTTTTTCCCTCCTGTTCATTATTTAAATTATGCCATTATGATTATGTATACTGAAATGAAATAGCTGATCCTGATATAATTTTCAGCTATATTGCTAAGCCCTAACATGAGTAAATAGGCTAATGTGTGAAAATATAAAGCAAGGCGGTTACATTTAAAATACCCCTTTTCTCCTGGCCTTTATTTAAAACAGGTTATTTGAGAACTATTGATTAATCATTAATTATACTGACTGATATAACAGGTTGATATCATGATATACTTTTCAGCTATATTGTCCAGGTCTAGGACAAAGGATCCGTCAATATTTTTCAAAATTCTACTAATTTGGAGCCTCATATCTTGGTACATGCTAACAGAACCTGCAGTCAGAGGTTATCTCCATCAGTTTAAGCTGCAGAACAGTGGATCATTGGTAGAGGGATGGAGTGGAGTGGGCGGTGGGGGTTGTGACGTTTCAGAGGTGTAAAATTTTGCAGAAGGGCTAGACATTGACTCAGCAGGGTCAAAACTTAAAAGTCAAAGCATCAAAGTCCGACTATAAAACACAAATGCAAAAACAACTCAATTTACTTATGAAGGGTATGCAGACACAAAAATCAAGACCAAAAACACACACAGGCAAACACACATCACTGACCCTGATTTAACTATTAGTGTAGCCACTGACACAAAATAGCTTTGCCTCTATGATGCAATACAACCTAATAACTTTGGAGTGCTAAGATCCCAGGTGACTGCAACTTGGAAATTGTGTGATGCCATGATCCAGGTAATCCTGCAGGTTTCTACATTTTGCAACTATTAGAAATTGATAAGATACAGTTGAGTGCAGAATAAGTTGCAAAGAGGCAAAGTTGAGTCAGGGACTGGAAGACAATGCAGCCCAGTAACATCAGGCTATTAGCATAGTAATAGGCTGTCCTGCCATTGTTCCTGAGAGGAGAGTTCACACCTCCCCTTACTGTGGGGGTGGAGTTGACCTCTCTATGGAAGAAACTAGCAGCCCAAGAAAGCCAACAGGCAAAATATATGAAACTGGCTGACAACACTAAATTAGTAATACACAACAAGCGAATATTATTCTAGACAAAATGGTAATAATGTTATAACACAAATGTATGCATGTGGAAGGCATGCACAAAAAGACACAATTTTAATCAAGATTGCCAACCAAAGGAGTAATGAGGAAACACTTCTCAAACAAACATTCCACTTATTCATAATTCCCTTGAGATACAACGTAAAACAGACACAACCTCACGTCTACAAAAAAATGTCCAATCTTACTAAACCTAACCCCAAAGAATAACAGTCATCTGTTGCAAAAGATTTTTCGCTTTTGTCTCTCTCCTGTCTGGAACGGAAAGCCATTTGAAAGTGTAATCACTGAATATAAACCAATGCTGTGACTCAGCCAGTGCAGATGATGAAGGCTGTTACCAAAGCCTCTGAGTTGAACTAATAAAAACAAACTAAATCTTGAACACTTAAAGCCAAAAGTCAAACAAGTATGAGCAGTAGTCCTTCTCTCCCCGATTAAAGAAAATACAAAGCCAGAGCCTTACCAAACCCAGACCTGGTCAGGCCTGTACACTATCCAAATCCCTACTCAATTGCATCATGGTTTTGTGTGGTCTTCCTCCTCTTATAGACTGCAATTGAAGGTAAAAAAACAAAAACAAAAAAAAACCCTCTAGTGTCTGCCACAAACACACAACTAACTCAAAGCTAGAGCTGCGAGCACTTTCACTTCATAAAGCCCAACCCCCTTCACACACACAGATAACTAGTTCTTGTCAGCCTGAGAGGAAGTGATGTAATAAACCCCATTCCTCTTTCATTTCTACTTCAAAGTCACATGACAGTGGAGATGTCAAAACGTTCAAGTAAATACATTTCAATACTCTTACCTGAGTCAGAATCTTTCTGGTCTCCATTAGCTCCAGCAGTGAACGGCAGCTTCCTTTTAGGGGCCTTTTCTTTCATCTCTTTAACCCCATCATTGCGATCCAATTTAGGAGTTTTGTTTGACAACACTTTATCCTGTGGAACAGACAAATTAAAACATGAAGACTGTGATAAGCAACGTGGTTTAGAGGTGAAAGACGTTTTCATAAGAATACAGCAGCAACACTGATTTAAATGTCTACTTTTTTATTAGGAGAATGTATGATAAGCTAAAACAAAATATAGTCCAACAGAGACAGACATTTATGAACTATCTGTGCATCTTGCAGCCTCTCCTCCTGCATTCAGTGTCATCCACAGCCCTGACTCTTTTAGTCATTATGGGCTTTTCAAAGTGAAACTTTTCCATGCAGTTTCTTGGTAGATTCCTGGTTTCCAGGCCACAGCAAAGGAGCCAGGCGCAGAAGGAGGCTAAGCTGACGCCGGCTCGGCTCTGTGGTCTGCAGCTGCTGGAAACAATCACAAGCCCAAGCGTATCTGCTATCAACAGATGTAAATACTTAAATATTTGTCCAACTTGTTTCTTTGTTGCATTGGGACCCGGTTGTGGTAGTGACTTAATATCCTGATTCCTGACTAAAAGCCTTTCAGTTAGAACTGAAATGAAGATGTCCTAAGAGTTGCATGTAATGGTTTCTTGTTGGGTTGTAATTCATAATCATTTAACTATTAATAAATCAGTATCTTTTCTATTATTATTTTTGTTTAAAAAAAACCAAAAAACCAAAAAACAAAAAAACCTAAACACACCAAGAATTCAATTTAAGCTGCTCAACAAGATACTTGTTTATTTCTTGATAAATTTGGTTGACTAAGGAGTAAGTAAACCACGGTGCACAACAAACAAACAAAAACAACCTTGCAGATAGACATCAGATGTTTAAGTGAATAACAGCACATTACCCTTACTGAACAATGCAAACACAGCCACATTAAGGACAAAAACACATACAGAAAACAATTTAGAAAACTACATAATTACATTGGAAACTGTCAAAAGAAAGCTTTAATAATTACTGTAGTCATATTTTCTAAAACAAAAGATTTTCACATCAAATGTGTTGAAACTTAAGTAATATTTATGGACATATTTTTACTACCTGTGTAGTTTGCAGCTGGATTTATAAAGATTCAGTAAAGGATTTTTTTGAGAAAGATAAGAACTGACTCAGTCTTGGCAGGTACTAGGACTAGGACTACATCTGATCCATCTGTATTAAAAAAAAACAACCACATGTTACAGTTGCAAATGATTAAGTTGTCACACAACAAACCAGGACTTGCTAGCAATAATGTAATTTCTAAATGAGTGTAAATACACATACACAAAAATTGTTGGTACCCCACAGTTAATGAAAGAAAAACCCACAACGGTCACAGAAATAACCTGAATCTGACAAAAGTAACCATAAATAAAAATTCTATGAAAATTAACCAATGAAAATCAGACATTGCTTTTGAACCATGGTTCAACAGAATTATTCTAAAAAATAAACTCATGAAACAGGCCTGGACAAAAATGATGGTACCCCTAGAAAAGACTGAAAATAATGTGACCGCAGGGATATGTTCAATCAAGGTGTGTCCTCTCATTAACATCACAGGTGTCTACAAACTTGTAATCAGTCAGTGGGCCTATTTATAGGGTTACAAGTAGTCACTGTGCTGTTTGGTGACATGGTGTGTACCACACTAAACATGGACCAGAGGAAGCGAAGGAGAGAGTTGTCTCAGGGGATTAGAAAGAAAATTATAGACAAGCACGTTGAAGGTAAAGGCTATAAGACCATCTCCAAGCAGCTTGATGTTCCTGTGACAACAGTTGCACATATTATTCAGAAATTTAAGATCCATGGGACTCTAGCCAACCTCCCTGGACGTGGTCACAGGAAGAAAATTGATAACAAATGGAAGAGACAGATAATACAAATGGTAACAAAAGAGCCCAGAACAACCTCTAAAGACATTCAAGGTGAACTCCAAGGTCAAGGTACATCAGTGTCAGATCGCACCATCAGTCGGTGTTTGAGCCAAAGTGGACTTCATGGGAGACAACCAAGCAGGACACCATTGTTGAAAACAAATCATAAAAAAGCCACACTGGAATTTGCCAAACTGCATGTTGACAAGCCACAAAGCTTCTGGGAGAATGTCCTATGGACAGACGAGACAAAACTGGAACTTTTTGGCAAGGCACATCAGCTCCATGTTCACAGACGCAAAAATGAAGCATATCAAGAAAAGAACACTGTCCCTACTGTGAAACATGGAAGAGGCTCTGTTATGTTCTGGGGCTGCTTTGCTGCATCTGGCACAGGGTGTCTTGAATCTGTGCAGACTACAATGAAATCTCAAGACTATCAAGGTATTCTAGAGAGAAATGTGCTGCCCAGTGTCAGAAAGCTTGGTCTCAGTCACAGGTCATGGGTCTAGCAACAGGATAATGACCCAAAACACAGCTAAAAACACCCAAGAATGGCGAAGAGGAAAACATTGGCCTATTCTGAAGTGGCCTTCAATGAGCCCTGATCTAAATCCTATTGAACATCTGTGGAAGGAGCTGAAACATGCCGTCTGGAGAAGGCACCCTTCAAACCTGAGACAACTGGAGCAGTCTGCTCATGAGGAGTGGGCCAAAATACCTGCTGGGAGGTGCAGAAGTCTCATTGACAGCTACAGAAATTGTTTGATTGCAGTGATTGCCTCAAAGGTTGTGCAACAAAATATTAAGTCAAGGGTACCATCATTTTTGTCCAGGCCTATTTCATGAGTTTATTTTTTTTAAATAATTCTGTTAAACCACAGTTCAAAAGCAATGTCTGATTTTCATTGCTTAATTTTCATAGAATTTTTATGCATTACTACCGACCATTGTGGGTTTTTCTTTCATTAACCGAGGGGTACCAACAATTTTGTCCACGTGTGTAGAAAAACATGTATGGTACAAACTGAAGCCGATTAGCATAGTGTCAGTTCACTTCACAACAGCAATACCAGCTCCCCATAGGAGCAACACTTAAAGGGTCTTAATCACCACAACAGAAAGCGGCTTTCTATGTTTCCCTGCATCACGGAAACTGGACTTATTTTATGCACTTTTTGTTAACTGCAATATTGTGTTGTACCAAGACACAGAACTGGTGGGAGCAACTAAAGTAAATAAGAGTCTAGTATAAGAATGTCATCACCAATTATTGTCTGTTTTTTAAATCTATTATGACTAGAGGGCAATATATTATTTAAAAATAGTGTTGTGCCTTTTATAATTACATTATCTGTCATGTAGAGGTCTGGTCCATATTGTGAAAACGAAATGCATTCCCCCTGAAATTCAGTTATCGATACTGCAATATTTCAGGCCATGACAGTGCATGCACAATTCAGCTGACACTATCTGTGGTAAACTCTTCAGGAAATAAACATTACAGGAGGAAGCGCCCAGTGGAAAAAGGAATATCCACAAGTGATGGATTCAATCCCTCATGAATCCTTGTTGTATTGCTATATCTGTACTTCCAAAGGAAATGGTCACAAAAATATGTAACTATACAAACACTGTATATTTTGGTATGGGCCATGATATTTTTAGCCAAAGTACAAAAGGTTTAAGGTCTCATAATGGGGATGCAAGAGGGTGTCAGATGTAATATGCACACACTCACTTAATTTCTCAGTCATACCTTCTGTCCCCTTCTCATTTATCGCTATCCTCAGGGCAGGTTTGCTATTCTGTGTCAAGTCTCTGAATTCCTCCCCTTGCCCTGCCCCAGTCATAAGACTATGATGTCATGGTACAGTACAGACAAAACAGTGTCAGATACAGTGAGCTGATCTCTCTCTCTCTCTCTGTCTCTCTCTCTCTCCAGACAAAGGGTTCATGTGCAAAAGCTACAGCACATCCAAGCATTTTTTCCCCTTTAAGAGAATAAAAATGATAAAAACATATAGTAAGAGCAGAACTAAACTGCACTGGAGTGAAATGGTTAACTGACCAAAGCGTATCTCTACAGTTAGACTGATCTGTTTTTATTTTTATTTTTTGCTGAATTAAATGTAAAGAAAGCTTTGACAGCTTGAGACTTTCCTTAGATCTGCCTTCATAAGACACCCTGTTTGGTGGTCTTCTAGCAAAGCCTGCTCTTTTTATCTCACTCCGTTTTCCACCCACCCCTGTGCGCTTCATTCCCTCCTCCCTCCATGCCAGAGTCTGATGCAATCCTTTGCAGAGGGCTGTAAATCCATGCCTGCATAAGCCTGTACCTCTCCTCTCCTCGCCTCATGGTGCTGCTGCTGGTAGCTTAACGGTTGGTACACACTGTGACATCATCAAGGTGCGCCAAACACTTAGTTCCACTGCAAACAATGCAACTCTGCCCGTGTGAAATTATGGGGATGCTTCCTTCACAGCTTGCAGTTCAAGAGCACGTATGTCTTAACTGACCAGTAAGGTTATATTTTTCAAAGTGTGTTTCTGAAAAGTGACTGAGAAAGGCATCCTTCATTTGCCTAAATTTCAAGGACACAAACATTGTTATAAGCATCTAACAATCCATTATGCGATTGTCCACCTTAGTATAACAATGTGGTGACGCTGAACATGTGAAATAACCATAATTTATTTACCAAGAACTTGAGTTAAGGTGTTTATCAGTACTGGCAATTATGTCACACAAGGAAAAGTGATGAAAAATCTCATCAAAGTATATACAAAGTGCAGAGGAACAAAAAACAAATAATTCACATTTGGAATAACAACCCTTTTATTTAACCATCTGTCCTAGGTATATTTGCACACAGCTTTTCAGGATGTTTGGCGGATATGTTGTTCAAAGCATCTTAGCAAACTTGCAACACAGTTTCTGTGGAGTCAAGTTGTCCTATTGTTTTCTGTCTCTATATGGAAATCTAGAACAACTTTGTTCAACTACAAATTTCTACTTCATTGACAAATGATATTAGATGCTGGGGAACTTTCACAATGTTGTCTTCTACACAGAACGATTAGAGAGCAGCATGAACAACAGAGCAGCATCACTGAAACTAGTAACTATTCCAGCATCATGCTGAAGGACACTACTGCCCCATTCAGACTGACACAGTGAATGAAAGCTGTGTACTAGACAACCCATGTCAGCCAACTATCCTTCACAAGTCTCCTCTGAACAAGGGCTGTACCTAAGTCCAGTAATGTCTGACTTTGGATATCCTGACACTGCAATCAGCAATGAAAAAAAAAAACGTAATGCAGACATTTAAATAGGAAAATGGAAAAATTGAAAATCTTGCACATGTGGACAATCAAGGATGTGCATTGACAGAGTGCAAAACTGAAATTGAACTTGAACTACTCTGGTAATTACTGAATGTAATTAAGTGTGTTTCTCAGTTTCATCAGTGACACATCCAGACTGTGGGCTGTCTGATGGTGGCATTAAAAGAGGGAAAATAATTTCTGCTGTAGGGCATCTACCCAGGCCTTATAGTTGAAGGATGCTCATCAAACAATGTTCCCTTTTTTTTTGGCTTATGTTCCTTTACTGTCTCTGAGGCCTTGTTAGGTCTTATAATTTATGATCACATACAGTGATTTAGTGCTAGGTGTCAAGGACAAATAGCATTTGAAAATTGATTTATATGTTGTATACAAATACTGATTATTGGGCACTGTGTTTATTTTTAGGTTTTTCTGCCTTACCTTTTTCCCACCCTGCTTTTCCACCATGTCGGTGTTGAGTGGGAAGTGGTCCAGCTGGGGGGTTTTAGAACCCCCACCTTTGGGCATCGTTCAGCTCTCCCCACGCCAAGCTTCATTCACGCTGCCATTGCATCGTCATCAACCGTCTGGAACAAATAGAAAGATATAAAGAAATGGCGGGGGAGGTTAGCACCTGGCTACAACGTTTCATTGAAAACACATTTACACACGGCCAGACAATGCAGCCATTAGCGGTACATCAAGCACTCTACTTTCAACCATTACACCCCTGCTCTAGAGGAAGAGCATTTAAGAGGGAGGAGAGCTCCAGCTGTGGCAGGCAGGCAAAAGGCTTATCTGTTCTTCAGGCAGAACTCAAAGAGGAAGCAAGATATGCCCAGATACTTTAAAACATGTTTGGAAATCACTGTTAGTTTGAAAGGAAAAGAACGTATGTTTACTCAAAACAGAGGCACTCTACTATATCAGCTATACTACAACTAAAGCTTTAATATATTTTAATGTATGAATGGCAGCAAGACAGACTATGTCAGATACTGTCTAACCTTAATGTTGTGGGACATTAAGCAAGCTCAGAACAGCTGAGGAATGTCTTTTAAACATGACTGGCACATCTCAACAAAAAACCAAACAGCCACTTACTGCCATAGTTGGCCAACCCTTGTATTTGTGGGCCTTACCCAGTAATCCCTTCCATAGTCACTGAAGAAGACACACCAAACCAACAAACAACAACTCCACCTGGTATGAATGATAGTTCTATAGGTTCATGATACAACCAGAGAATTCTGTACAGTTTGGTGTACACTGTGTTCTCGGTGTCTACTTTGTCCTCTGTGCAAGTACATAACAATATATGCATTACTATCCACTGCCTTGCTTCTTGTTCTTCTGCTTCACAGGGCCATGAATTAATCATACATGCCATCCCTCAATTATCTCCTCCATAATGCACTTTCTCTTCTGAGTATGATCATCCCTGTGACTGACTGAGTGAGTGAACAGATGAGACCATGGCTACATTATTGTTATTTTTTTTTCTACTCCGAGACACTGGCACTCCTATCTTCCCTGGCGCCACTTCCATCTCCCTTCCCCTCCCCACACCCTCCTTCCCTTCCCTTCCCTTCCCTCTGCAGTTATCCTATTCAAAGACTGCTATTTATATCCCTCCAGTCAAGTCAGTCAAGTAAAGACAGCCAGCCAACCAGATAGGCGCACAACTACGGTGGACATACTGCCCCCCTTTACTGCTGTGTGGAAAGAGAGACCACAGGCCCCTTCCTCTCTCTTATGGTACGTTGTTACTCCCTCTTTGCTACTGGGAGGCACTCAGTGCACCCTCCCCCAAACTCCCACCACTCACCACACCAAACAAAGTGACAGGAAGGTCGACTACCCCGAGAAATAAACAAACCTTGCAACAACACACAGAGACACACCTCAAACTGGGTCAGCTGGGCTTCTAGAACAATAATCTCTGCACTATTTTGGGACTACTATGATGGACGGTTATAGTACCACAGCGTTTCGCTGATATGCGAAACACAGGAAAATGATGTTTGCAGGCTAGCAGTCATACAAAGGCACACATGTAAAGGAAACCCTGTTCAAAACCATAGGCATCATTTCCTTTGTAATTTCAACTAGGGCCCAACTGATATGGATTCTGATATTTGGCCAAAAAAAAATTCTGATAACTGATTAATCGGTCGATTAATTAAAAAAAAAAAAATGAATAAAAGCTTCTTTTTTGGTCCCTTAATGCTTACAACAACAAAGATATGAAGCACAGGCAGAACTACAGAGCCCGTCTGGTGACATCAATAAGAAATAAAAATAACTCGTTCCCATGCATGAGTAAATCGTGGCCACGAGTTATTAATGCGTGGGAACGACATAGTTAAGTCGTGGCCGCGAGTTACTAATGCGTGGGAACAACATAGTTAAGTTGTGACCTCGCATTACTAATATGAAGAAACAAGAGAAGTTGTGGAGCAAATTTCACAGTGCGGTCATACCAGCTGTCGATTAAGGATAACGGCCGTACTTGCATGAAACATGGAGCATTTTGATTTCATTTCATTTTATTTGAACCTTGGAATGAACTACACCGATATCCTGCGATCTCTTGCGATGAAACACCGTGTGATAATTATGTCGTTCCCACGCATTAATATCTCGTGGCCATGACTTAACTATGTCGTTTCCACGCATTAATAACTCGTGGTCACGATTTACTAATGCGTGGGAACGAGTTTTTTAAATTTCTTATCAATGTCACCAAACGGGCTCCATACAGAACAATTTACTGTTTAACAATACTTTGTCCTTTAGTATTTGTTTAACATCACAACAGAGAAGAATTTTCAAGTACAAAAACATGCAACAAAGCATTAAACATAATATGCATCAGTAAAAAAAAAAAAAAGTTTTCCAAACGAATATGTATGTAATGTGGGATATTTTATTTTAAATTTGCATTGTGCATTTTTCTTTCTATGGAGCATGCATGAATATAGCTACCAATTGTACTGGTAAATTTATCTTTAGATTTAGGCCATAGTTGTATGCTGTATATAAGCAACATAATGAGTAAAGTTACTGGCAAAACATTTATGCAGCCCTCTGATATTCTGTATTCTCAAAGAATGTTGTCTTCAAAGTTGATGAGAATAAGTTAATAAAAATGTAAGGATAAAAAGTTTAAAAAGTTGTTTTCTGTAGTTCTCTGAAAAACCAGTAGCAGTAGCAAAAACTGAGCTTTTTGTGGTGTTGCTGAAGTGTTTTTAACACGCTTTTGCCATAGAGAATATTTGTCTTTAACATGATTTTGTAATTGCACAAAATGAATGTACGAAAGCGACTGTGATACTTAACAGCATTTACTGTTCTATGAGAAATTAAGAGTATATCTGCGATTAATCGGCAAAACTTCGGCCGATGATGAGTTTTGAAAAGGGCTATAATCGGCAGATATAATTCCATCCCAATCAAAAGATACATAATATCTGCAGTGTGTGTCTCTGTGTGTGTTTCATTCAGGGAAGTGTTGTTGTCACTAAATAATTGATTCCTTCTGTATGTTCATTTGTACACATGATCGCGTTTTGAGTGCTATGAGAACAGTAAAGAATGCAATGCTTCTCTGCAATAGAAAAGAATGTCACTTTGTGATGAAGTCAAGCAACACTATCATTTTGTTGCTCAACAAAAACAAAAGAAATAAACAAAAAACAACCCATGATTTATTCTTTCAATTACCAATGCTGCAGATATGTTTGCCACATTTTATTGCTTTGAATGACAATGGTGCTTTTGAGCAACTAACATAACCCTTTAATAAAAAATACTCTCAGCATATTTTGCATGATACAAATGTCACTTTTGGGTGCTATGCAGGTGTACTTTCACACAAACACATTTTCATCAAGAACAAATGGCAAGCTGCACCAACAATGCCCAAGAAAATAATGTTTAATGTCTACAAAATGTATTACCAGCCTTTATATAGTAATGTATAATGAAAACCAAATGTTGCTAACTTGGCAACCACTGTAAAAACTACTGCCAAGCATGTGCTGGCAAGGTTGAATTTATATATACATATCCAGCAACATGAGTGATGTATCATAAGCTTGCATATAGTGGCTACGAGGAAAGGTGGTGGTCAACATGCTAGCCTAGCAAACAAAAGCACTTCCAGACTGTCCATTTTGTTTTTTTGGTGAAAAGGAACGTTGTGTACTAGCTATGTAACTACATCCATAAAAATATAAATTTGAGAGAAATCCACTTTAGTTAAAAAATGTCATCGCAGAAATAAGATTTAAGTTAGGAGCAATCTATGGACTGTTGTCTTCTGGATACTGCATCTCTTAATCTTGTCTTCTCTACATCTGTTCAATAAATTCTGTGACACCAGAGCAGCACTGTTGACTTTTAATGTTTTATGTATGACATCAACCAAGTTAGACGTGGCTATGGAGATGATAACTGCAGAAAAGAGTAGTGAGAGGTGAGTCAGAGAAGCAATCTCTTTCAAATGAAAGACCGGACTTGCAAGTACAACTCTCCATCCCTTCGGTTTCCCTTGAAAAAACACACACACACACACACACACACACACACACACACACACACACACAC